AGAAATGTCACGAGTTGTGTGCCCTTTGAGCCGTGTCACGACATAACCAACATAATGGCTTTGCGACCAGCAGAGATCCAGACCAGCCTGTGCATTCGCGCAGTCTGATCAGGATCCATGCTGTTCGCTATCAGTTTCTCTACTTGTAATAGAGTTGGTAAGCGAACAGCATGGATCCTGATCAGACTGCGCGGATGCGCAGGCTGGTCTGGACCCATGCTGGTCGCAAACCCACTATGTTGGTTTTGTCGTGACGCGGCTCATTTTATGTAGCCCAGACTGTACAAGTATGCAAACTTTCAGACATGTCGCTCAATCCGTTTTACAGGAATGGTAATTTTGATTTTGAAAAATAACCGCAAAAAGAGTTGCATTTCATTAAACTGAAATTGTGCTTTTAACTTCATACAAAATGGATTTTCAATTAACATTTTAGACTTTCCTTTTTTTCAAATCCTTTTCAAATTTTCCATTTCAAGCGCAACAGTGGATCTATACTGAAACAAAAAAGAAACTTTCTCCAAGTTTGAATGAAGATGTGTTAGTACAGTTTTTCAACCCTTTTGAAACTCGATTTTTACGTTGAATAAACATATCGGGCTTTTATATGGGGATTAGCTGACCGATTTTGAAAACAAAACGAGTTTTACAAGCTACTACATGTATATAAGTGGTACCCTTGAACAACTGGCACATACTTTGCGAAAGTTTCTTTTTTGGTTCAGTATATATAAGAATTTCAAATAACATGGCTTTAGGCGTTTGAATGTCTGAAACGTTTTAGATAGGATATCAAACGTCAACAAAGCACAGGGATCACATTCTCAGAAAGAGGACCCTGACAAAATCAAAAATAAGATCAACGAGGTACTGAACAGTTTGTTCAGTTCATTCTGAAAAGATTTGTGTTAAATCCCTCAATTCATAATGCAAAAACGACCCATTCTTACCTTTTTATATTTATCTATCTTTGGCATTAATTTTGTGTATGATCACAGACATTGAGGTTTGCACTAAAATCACCGCATCACCATTGTGAAAATTTGCGCGAAATAGCATTTTTAAATACTTTAATGCTGCAGACAAATAGAAGGTGTAAGGGGCAAGAATATGGCTGGTAATCATTACTTCACAGATAAATGGAAAGAGGTGCATTTTTTTTGACAGAGAGTTATTGTAAATTAATTTCCACTAATACGTTCAACATTTTAATGGGGGTGGGGGCGGGGGAGCGCAAAGTACATGGCATTATTCGACAGGTCTAATGTTCAAAGTCAAGAAAATAGCTAATTGAAGTAGCGCAACAAAATAAACGTTGATATGCATTAAGGATACATATGTTAAGCAAACAGTATTGGTAAGATGTGGCATCTGGCAAAATAAATAACAGACTATTCCAATATTTGCTTGGATTGTTTCATTATGTATAATTTGGGAACTGTTGTCATAATGCGTGATTAGGCTCTATTCTGTCATCTTCGTGAGTACCCTAGACATATATGTTAATATATGAAACAGGTAATATAGAACAAAAATACTTTACATTTAACATAGATAAATATGTCTGTTTAGTTTATGGTTAAGTGAAAAAAGTTTCATTTATAATTTGTACTTTAACGATTTTTTAAGGCCCATTATGCCTCAGAAATACTTTTTTTTATTTTTTGATAATTGTTTTTTTGTTGTTGATATTTTGATGCAATTTCAAAACATTACTCATGTGCCGTGTAGAAGATCTATCTTTTGCTTTTTTAACTCGCTGGCAATTGGTATAATTATAGTGAATTGGTATTTTGTATGGAAGTCAAAATATCAAAATAACACTATTGTTCACATTTTGATACCTTTATGACACATTACTGCGTGTTAAGCGATACTTTCGTCAGTTGGTTTTACATTATACGTGCTATAAATCTATTTTGAAAACATAATTAAATACATATTTGGCATTTCTAACAAATTAAAAATGTATTTATAAAGCATAGTGTGCCTTTAAACGGTCCAATATTAACGAGGGCTTTACATATTACTGAACAAGAACCTCACAACATTCGTTAGCAGTATCATAATACGTATATTAATGTCAAGGGTCAATGATAAACACCGTATCATAATACGTATCTTAAGGTCAAGGGTCAATGGTAAACACCGTATGAATACATCTGCGGGTGTTTCAGATTTAATAGTAAAAATAAGTAGTCAACTGTAAATTCTTAAAATTCTCTGCAATATACCAACGTTTCGGCTGAAAATCCTTCGTCAGGGTACAAAATTAAGTAATAACAATATACAGAAAATAATGTCGGCCTTACATAAAGTTAATAGCGACGACGTCAAAACATAACGATGCGTTAAAGAAATAATATATTCCAAACAGTGATATTATCGCTCCATAAAAACACTAATAGGAGTTCGAATGCCAGGAATTATATCACGAGAGAGTAGCCAGAGTGATATTTTACATGAGATGGCAAATATTTTATGTATGATTTTAAAATAGTGTCAACAAAAGCTTTCTGTTAAAGCTTTAAAACCTGAAATAATCGATATACCTGGATAACCAAGGCGTATATCAGGATCAAATGTTTCATGAATTTTAGTTGGCCGATAAAACTGTCGCACTATGTCTGTATTTTATGGATGAAGCGCTTCCAACGTAGATTCTCTTATATTGTCTAAATACAATCATGTGTTTCAAATTAGAAAGTTTACCATTTCACGTTAAATTTTGAATTCTGCTATTGGCAGTGCTAGGGGGGAGGCTAGAGTAGACTGTAGCTTGCAATTTCTAATACCGTATATTAACATGCTGCTTAATCGGATCGAGCAAACATCAATTTTAATTTTGCGTTTTTTTTGCTTTCGCAAGGGATTCTTTCCATTTTTTGAAGATTGTTCAGTTCTAGGGTCTAGAGGCGAAGTGTAGTATGTAAGAATCATTTGTGTCACATATTAAGCACTTGACATCTGTTTTTGTGACCAATTAATTCTGGAAAGCATAAATCGAGATTCAACAATAGTCTGGCGGGGCAGTTTATCCGTGTAACAATCCAACTGACCTTGGTGGTAATTATTACAAAATCATTTATGTACTGTTAATACACATATATACCTTACATAATGAGTATCCTTATCATAACTGTAATATCCTTAAATTCAAGCCCTGGGGTAGGGTCATTGGTAGTACTAGTACACTCTAATTTATGTACAATAAATATCTTGCCTTTTTTGCTTTACTTCATCAATGAAAACATACTTTTACCAATATCATGGTAAATAGTACAGATGATGCTTTGGCTGTTTTTCCAGGCGAATAGTGTTGTTTGATTAAAAAGATAAAAATCACCATATAATATAATTATATTTTTTAGGGTTAAATGAGACAATAGAAGATAATATCATTGACAACATTATTGTTCGTAAATTATATCTATTTTTGCACATCAGAAAACATAAAATTAATTAGAATGCTTGTATAAAAATAGCATTTTAAGGACAAAACAGAGAAAATAGAATACCTAAAGAAAGCCCAACACGGCAAAATTTGAAAATGGTGCAGGTTCGGTTTGATTGAGCCTGTTCATGGACGGTACTGTCAAGTGCAAAAATACTGTCCACGCCCCCTAGCACCGGCTTAAGCAGAATTCAAGATTTAACATGAACTGGTACAATTTTGAATTTTGAAACAGCCGCAAATGTGTTTTTATGGCGGTTATCATGGAACCTTCAATGTGACAGTAAAGTGCAATTCCATGAAAAGCGGCATATGGTCCCCAAGTAAAAAAATGCGTGTGCCCTTAACGAGAAAACAATTGGCGGAACTAAATAAAATAGAATTTTGAAAGGGGATCAGAGGTTATGAAGGCTGCTATATCACAGATAAGACGTCAAAAGACAAATTTAAAAGCAGGCTACATATCCGAAGGGTGATTCAACAGTATTCAAGTGACCACCCAACAAAAAAATAGCCGAATAGAAAGAACTTAATTACCACATTACTACAACATTGTTGCATTTCTTTTTGGTCATAGTAAGAGTCACTTAGATCGGTAGAATGAACATGCATTGAAACTGGTCATAAACAGGTTGAAGATGCTCCTTTCGCTATAGTCGAATAGGGTCAACAATTCTCTGAAAAAAAGCAAACCGTTCAAATCCAAACAGCAACTAAGATATTTGTTGCAACTATTGACCAGCGATAAACGTACGTTTTGTTAAATCATTTTTAATTTCACCTTGAAATTTGAGACAACACGTAGAATGTACATATTTTGAACTATTATCGATGACTGCTTTCCTGAACTCTAATCTGTACTCTAGCTAAATGAAGTGTTTGTGGGAAATATTTATCAAATTCCTTCTCAGAGATTCTGGCCTGTTATCCGACAGTTAAATTTCCTACCACTTGAGCACAACTATCTGGAAAAGGTGTGATCCCTCGGATGCATTAATCACAACAATATGTTATGAAATTTGCAGACTCGGTTTGATTGAGTCAGTACATGAGGGAATAATGAAAAAGTGCAATATCCTTTAAAGCCCCTTAGCACCGGCTTGAGTGGTTTCTCAATTTGCAACACTTAAAAGTGTTGGAAGTGTTTTTCTTGATAGTTAGAACTCTGAACATATATCCTAGTATACACTTAAAGACGTTGTGGTTATTTTCGTTTAATTACACTTACAAAAACTCAACTGTAGCACAAACTTCACAGGCAGAGTAAAAAACGTGTTTTTTAGAGTAACAAATGTGACCACAGATATTAGCAGCTGCATTTCTCACGTGACAAATGTAATCCTGGTCAAAGAACGCGTATTGTTAGGTAAATGGATATTGTACATGGATGGAATAGAAAAGGCACGTATTCAATATTCACAGTTTAAATTATTTACGCATGCACATAACTACAAAATAAACAGTTGTGCTAGAACACAAAAACTAAATTTATTACCATAATGAAATATGTATAATGTATACAATTTCAAAGTATCAATATCAGTGTTATTGTGTGTGCATTTGGAAGTAATCAAATCATTTGAGTTAAAATCTTTCATCACAGAGGATACACATTTTAAATTTTGTCATATCGTTTAAACAAAGCAGAAATAAAGATGTGTTTTGAAATAACAAAGATGATTGTTCTGTACTTCATTTCAGTTTTACTTGGACTCTGCCTCTGTGTTAAACTTAAGTTGTTTCAAACTGATCATCGAGTTACCGCTGTATCAGAAACTTATGACAATCTTTCGTTACTGGAATGCTCGGTTCTCTTTCAAAATGATAAAAAAAGATTTTCTTTCAATTACAATAAAGAAACGCAGATTTGTGAAATGAGTAACAACTTTCCTGAGGGTCTGACAATTATTTCTACAGGCTGGAACGTGTACTCACTAGGTAAATACATCATCATCTTAATTTTTATTACTGCTATTGACATCAACGTACACTTTTTGTGCTGTTATAATTGTTATTTAATTTGAATTGTTCACAAAGATATTTATGTTATTGTTGTTTATATAGCCGTTTGAGTTCATACGCTTTCCTATCACACTTCCATTGGACGAACAATGTCATTTAGGTATTCTTGTTTTCTTTATTATATAGTACAATGAAAGCTATTCAATCATTCTGTATCTTCAGAAGCTACTTTAAATACAGATACGCCATTGCTCAGAAAAATTGTCGGAGCCGATCTAATTAAAAAAAAAAGAAAAAAAAAAGAAACGCTGAATTTTTTTCTGCCTAGTTAAGTCCTGAAAACGGGATACAGTTTTTTCTCTAAATGCTCCCACTCGGATTACCAAACAAAATATATCCCATTTTAGGTTTAAACCAGACAGTAAAACAAACGTTGCTTCTTTTAAAATTAAATCAAGTACTAAAGTACTAAAGCCAATCTGTTCCGATATTCTAACGACTCCTTATAATACAAAAGATATGGTTATTATTTTTATATTATGTCGGTAGAATAGTTTCTTTGTTTCGGCGACAATTCGATTGGATAGTGATATTAAAGAAAGTGAAACTATTTTTGCGTGAAGAAACTAAACTTAATAATATGATATTCCCAAAAGTAACTATTTAATATAAGAAGAGCTCTAAAATTATAATATTATAACTTGCACAGAAACGATACTTATTTGTTTTGAGTGGACTTTAATTTGAAATATCATAACAAATACATGTAATGCAAGAATGTGATAACGATGTATGCTTATGTGCAGTAGTATTGCAGAATTGCGCAATGGTTACAGTTATAGTTTTAGTATTCCCCCTTCTTTTCCCCGCCTTTGTGCCTGTCCAATATTTGTTAGGTGCTTTCATGGTGCCCTGTTATTGTGACTGGTAACTGTTTGGGGCTGCGTCATCGAAAATGTCTATCCTGTTTGCTCCCTGCTGCTTAATGTCGCTCTTGACGTGTGTGGTTATTTTTAGCTCACCTGAGTACACCGTGCTCATGGCGAGCTATTGTGATCCCCCATCGTCCGTCGTCAACAATTTCTTTAAACAACATTTTCTCAAAATCAATGACTGCACAGTAACCAAACTTTACCTCTAACAATGTTGTTCAAATTATAGCCCTGGGGTCTAAATTGGCCCACCCCGGGGATCATAGGTTTTTCTTATATTTATAAAGTAGAAACTTAAAAAATCTTCTTGTTTGAAGGTACAAGGCTTAGAGCTTAGATATTTGGTATTTAATATCATCTATAGGTCCTAAACCAAAGTTGTTCGAATTTAAGCCTTGGGGTCAAAATTGGCCCCGTCCCGGGGTCATAGGTTTTTCCTTATATGTATATAGTAAAACTTACAAAGAACTTCTCCTCTAAATTGACAAATGCTTTGAGCTTAGATATTTGGCATGAAAGCATTATGTAGTGCAACTCTACCAAGATTGTTCAAATATATAGCCCTAGGGTCCAAAATTGGCCCTGCCCCGGGGTCAAAGGGTTTTTTGTTTTATATGTGTATTGTAAAAACTGTTCCCATCCACACATTTAACCTTGATCATAACTTTAGTTATTGGTTTATTGTCTTTAAACATCAACTTCTTATCTACACAAAAAATAACCCTGTTTTGTATATTTTTAAGACCTGGTAGCTCTACGTTTGAATATCAATTGCATTGAGTACTCAGGAAAGCGCATTCGGGCCAATGACCCCTTGTTTATTCATGTTGTCATTGTCAGTATAAATTAGTGCCAATACAGATTGAAAACTTCGCAATGTATTTCCAATGTACCAACCAATTTATATGCAAAACACACTTATAGGCAAAATATTTAATCTGTGTTGAGTGGTTTTGTGTACGTATATAACGAATTTGGTAATCGTCATTTCCCTTTTTTAAGTAAATTAATTAAATACTTTATGTTATAATCGCTCCCATGTAAATACTGGAACATAATGTCATATAATACTCAATAACCAAGGTTTACCAGTCATTAGTCACCTGTTGTTAGTTATTAATGTGTTATGTGAAAATTGCTATTGAATAATTAGGACTCTATTCATACCCTCGCTATTATGACATGCCATAATGATCGAACAGCGATCTCTTAGTTAATCAAAAACAAAAACGTTTCCTGTTTTCCTGCGATTCCTGTTTTTGATTATTAATAATCAACAGTTCTTGCTTTTACCGTTGCGCTTTCTCCTTTTTTGTTTAGTGTCCTGATGGGTTCCTAACATGACGAATTTGAAATAAATGTTTATTCAATTATCGAACGGCAGTAAACAAATTTAATTAAATGTTTTTTTTCTGAACGTAGAGATATGTTTTGACTTTATCTTGGAACCGTTGATTACAGGATGCTTTTCACAACAACACATAATAAAAGGCCTATTTCAAACGATCATTTGTTTTCGATTATCAGATTCAGAGTTTTATTTCCATATCAGTGTGTTTTGAGAATTAATGCCTTTTAATTACAAAAAGTAATGGGCTATGTTTGTAATGAATGGTGGCTGCAGTATTTGCTTGACTCAGCTAGTGACCATGTCAGCCATGTATACAAATGAAACAAGGACACCGTGACGGAAATATTTAATTCAATCCGCATAACATTTTATATGGCAGGGATAAACAATTGGAAACCACAATAATTATAAAAAAAATGTTTTCTTGGTCATATTTATGTTTGTTTAAAGCCTCATCCCTCCAGTTGAAGCATAATATTTGAAGACAATCACCCTTTAGAAATATGTACTTCAATATAAATAAACGTAAAAATATTCCCAATTCAAGAAAAAAAAATATACATGATGTTTACAATTCAATGACTGCATATTCTGACCTTCATTTGGTCATTTTCGTTTGATTCTAAATGCAGTTTGCAATGTGTACATAGCAATGTGTTTGTTCACTTGGCAGTATGTAGTTTTAAATACATTATGTCTTACAAAGTTTCTTGTTCATATCTCTTATAGTGTCAGAGTTATGTCTCGGACAAATTTCAAAGTGTGAAAATGAACAAAGGGCAATAACTCCATAAAAAGGCAAGGCAGGGTTGTGTTTTGCACTGCACTTTTACTCAATGAGATCTATCTACCTACAAAGTTTCATGTTAATACCTGTTGGATCGATTTTGCGCAAATGTGTGACACATTAAGACAAAGACATAAGGTCAAACTCTTAAATCTCAAGGTTAAGGCCACACTTGATTTGAATTAAGAAATATTGAGTTGAAATTGTTGTTTGTGTTCAATGAAACATTCTGTCTTTTCTGAATGTATTTAAAGTGCTTTGGCACAAATGTCTTAATCATGATCACGGCTTGTCACGCTCAATGTTCAAGGTCACATTTATTTATCGTATCATTTTCCTACAAGTACATTGATGGTTATGCTACGTCCAGTCAAAAATTTTATCATTCAACTTTAAGAATATTTTTTTTATTGATAGACGTGTCTGATCATCAGTTGTGTCTATGTGTCTTTCATTGATTATAAATGCGATTATAGCTAGACAGATCAAGGTTTACTGTCAAAGTTTGGTCATAACTAAAAACAAACATATCCTGAATGATTCACTGAAGCATTCTGAAAATAATTATAAAACAAGAATTTGACTATATTTGATATATTTTAAAATACTGTTTCCAAAGTATGTATTACAATGATATCAACTTATAAAATGACATTCTTTAATAACCATTTAGTTTCAATACTATTATGCGAAGCAGTTTGTAAAAAAATCACATATGAAGCTTGCTTTATAACTAATAAAAACATTATTTTCTATAAAGTCTAAGTCAATTTTTTTCAATAAGAAATGAATGCATATATTTTAATGATTACATATAATATGTAAACATATTTTCAGTACATATTTTACTGGTATACAACCTCAATTACAACATACAGGGTCTTTAAGGTAATGATTTTAAATTGAGTTAATTGATCACGAACAATATACAACTAAAAAACACAAACAACAACAACAAATACAACAAAAACACACACAAAAAAAACCACACAGGTTTAAAACTAAGTGTGCCAAGCTTCGGTGCCGTCAAAGTGTAACGACAAGATTTTTGTTTAATTTTCCAGGCTACTTTATTCATTAGGAAATTAACTTTCATTTTTCTCTTTTCCTTTAGAAAGTAACTACTATTTTGGATCAGCTTATGTTACGCAGTCGGAAGCTGTGGTAAATATTCAACATTTATTTGCTTTATTTTGTTTATTCGTAGAGTATGTATTACGCCTATCGAACCTACACATATACAGCTCGTTTCTTTTCCCGAGAAATATCGATGTGACAAAAAGCATCATGATTTGATTGAACTAGTTTGAATAAAGCGTTGTTAAAAGTTCAGTGATCAGTGCTGCCAGGTAGTCTGCATTCATATAAAAACATTTCATCATTACATATAACGTTACACTAATACAACTCAAGTGATCAAATACTTGCATGTTTAATTATTATCATGCAATCTTTTCCTTAGTTAACAAGTCAACATTTTTATCGTATTTGTAGGCGATCTGTGATGGTATGTCTGCGAGACTTGTAATTATTGACAGTCAAGAAGAGCTCGAATTTCTTGAAACTCAAGTACTAGGTCAGTTAAACATTTTTTGCTTGTACATCTGAGTTTACTTGTTTATCCTACCGTCTGTTAAGGCCTTAAGGCTAAATTACTTAGAACATAAAAAAATATTAGGATAAGAACAATGCTGTGTGCAAAGTATTTTGTAAGACTTAGTTTACTATGTGTACTTATAAAGTCAAGGTTGAAAACAGATTGAATGTAAAGACTAGTTAACTGAATAAAAACATATTTTATCGTTAATTTTTCAAGAAAGAAACTTTATTTTTTACGCTGTAAAAATATATTCTATGGCCTTTAGGTTTAAATGACAGTACTTATAAAAAGAAAATCTTCGTCCAAATCGTGTGTCCCGACTTACTTTCTGTTCACTGGAATTCTTTTACAGGCTTTGACCACTGGATCGGCATGACTTGTACCTCTGGTACAAATTGCAAATGGGTTGATGGCAGAAGTGCCGATTCTGGTTTCACGGTGTGTATCGAATTTTTCTTTTTTAATTTACTGTATTATCTATCTTCGGGACAAGAGGATGTCTTACATTTTCTCTCAGATGTCATTTGCGTAAATTGTTCACAGTACCAGTATAGGTTTGCAACACTTAGAACCAGATTATCTTTAAAATGGATTGGCTTAAAATGGACACATTTTTAATTAAAGTGGCATTACGCCCGCCCGAGAGTAAGTGATTAGTGTTCGGATAAAATCAGTATTACTTTACAATTTGTCAAATTTGTTTTCAAAATTATGGTAAAATATTTTCAGTAATCAATTATCGCCGTGCCTCACATATCTATGAATATTCTTCAGGAAATATCAGTAATGGTAAAGGGGCTATCTTTTTATACTTTAGGCAGTTTTTATATTTTTACCTTAACTTTTATGCGTATCAATGTTTGTTCCGTCGCCATGAAAATAGTCAATCTTTTGAAATATGCAACCAATTTATCTCAGCTTGGCAGTGAAAATGAGCCTTAAAGTTTTTTATTAATATAAACAAAAGAAATGTACCCTTTGGATTTTCTTTTTAAACATTTTTTTTTTGAATAAAAAGTTAATCATATTCTGAGTGATATACCTTGAGCGGTAATTTGACAAAAATTAATATTTTGTTCAGGAACAATTTATAATTTGCAAAATCATATATCTCACAATTATCAACAGTATCAATTGATACATAATTCTGAAATGGCTTGTTGTCAACAATGATACTATCAACATAGGCTAATTATTTCTTGTATAACGGACCTATTATGTACCAAATCACTTTTCAAAGACATAAGACATGTTTCAAAATGATCTTTTAGCGGCTATTTACGTGTATGCGTTTACAGCTTCCTTTACCTATTGTTTCGCTTTTTTAACTGCCATGAAAATCTCGAAAGAAATTATTTGTGTTTTCGTGATATTACATGTATATAACACGTTTCTTAGTTTTGTTTGGCTGGTTCTACGCCTATTTAACACATATTTATCATATGTCTGCGGTCGGATTTACCAATTTCTCCGCAAATTAAAATATAATAATTGTGGAAGATCAAATGTCAACGACAAGGCTTGTCTCGCCCGAGAATCGTTCGAGCGACCCCATTATTGCAAATCCGATGTGTCCAGCTTTGCGGGCGGACATAATTATGTCCGTAACGGTCAGTAACCGTAATATAATAAAAGCCACATCATGACAAAACCAACATAGTGCGTTTGCGACCAGTATGGAGCCAGACCAGCCTGTGCATCCGCGCCGTCTGATCAGGATCCATGCTGTTCGCTTACCAACCCTTTTACAAGTAGAAAAAATAATAGCAAACAACACGAATCCTCATCAGACGGCGCGGATGCGCAGGCTGGTCTGGATCCATGCTTGTCGCAAACCCATTATGTTTGTTTTGTCGTGACGCAGCTCATATGTCGTTTTCTTATTATTTTGAAGCAATGGGCGCCTAACGAGCCATCCGGTATGGATTGTGTATGGATTGGTTACCAAGGAAACAACTTTGATGATTTGTATTGTGACGTTCCGCATAAAGTACTTTGCGAGTACCTTTAAAATATTTTTTCCCTACAAACTTAAAATGTGACCATTTACAGATTTATATTGCATTTTTGTAGAATGAAATTTTATATGTGATGATGAATTTAATTGTAGGAAATTATAGTGTGATAGTAGGGCATTTTCAAAAGAAGTAAACCAAGTTTTTAACTTTGAAATTAATTTTATTATGTTTCTTTAACGGCTTATCATTTACAATTCAAAGTGTCGATTAGCTTCGTAATCGTCCTCGAAGGCATGAAAGAACAGTAAAGAAAAAGATATATCTGTTTGAATTTACATTGGGAATAATTAGCAAGATTTTGATTCAGTACTTGATGATAACTTGTTTTTATATAACACAAAAGTATGTATGGTTTGGATTTATGTTATCATCAGAACAAGTTTGTATTGTTGTATTGCTTTCTGTCATCAGAATTTATTTTTATCTATGTTGTATTGCTTCATGCCATTAGAACTATTTTTATGTATGTTGTATTGCTCTATGTCATTAGAACTATATTTTATTTATGTTGTTCTATTGCTTTATGTCGCTATAACTAGATTTATGTTTTATTGCTTTATGGCTTGCGAACTAGGTTTTATTTATTATGCATATTGTTTTCTTCAGAACTAGTATTTTTCTTGTTTTGTTTATAATATATTGCTTTATGTAAACACTGGGGTTAAAAAAAATTGCTCCACGTACTTACTTTGTGTAAGTATACATAATTCCGAATATGTGAAATGCTTTTTTAACTCGGCAAATGATAATATTTTCAGATTTGGAGATGTTTTCGCCTTTGGATGATCAACTACGAGGGTTGTCCCAAAATATCGTAGACAAAGTCTGTTACTCAATCAACTATAAAACAATAGCGTCGTCAAGCTAGGGAAAAGTCAATACACCTTTTATGTGTGTCTATGCGAAATAAAATCAAAATACCTCAAAAAATGACCAAGTAATTAAAATTTAAAGAATGCTACCTATACAAACCCGGCGCACGCCGTCATAAACGTCATGACGTTACAAGATTAAAAAAAATGTTTTTCAAAGTATTCTCCGTGTTTCTCGATCCACTGTCGGTGTCGGGCGACCCATTTATCATAACCATTTTCAAAATAGTCCTACTTTAATGTTCTCAACACTCGTCGAGTTTCCTTGCATAGTACCCTGAAATTTTCGAACCTCAGGGTGACCTCGTAATTGTGATTTCACATAAGGCAACACTGCAAAGTCTAGGGGCGTATGGAAGTCTCTAAAAACCTATCACATCAAGTTCAAGCTGTGTCTCCTGAGATCTATGGCAAAGTGCATTATCTTGATAAAATATAATGTTCTCCATGTTGTCAGTTAATGCTAGACGCTTCTTGAACTGAACACAGTATTCAATGACATCGCGCTGCGCCGCATTTTCATCTGACGTCGCCATTTTGGGAATTTTCAAAATAGCATTGCTGTTACATATTATGCTACAGATTTTTTCAAAGTAGCGTTACATAAACGTCTGTTGGTGATATGACGTAAAAATGAATGACGTCGTTCCACAGGAATGTATTTCCCATAATTATTATTATGCTGGACGTTAAAGGCATGTTTTTAAGAAGCATGCTCTCAACACTGACTAGTATTTTATCGTGCTCCGGGTATGTTGTACTGTGTAATATAAAACCCTGATAAAAAGCGTTACCTTATATATTGGCTATTGACTTTAAGAAGGTAAATTAACAAATGACCAAGGAAGATATCTGGTAAATTTTATTAAGTTATGACGTCAGGTTGAAGAGAATTAATGTAGTCTACGACATTTTGGGACAACCCTCGTACATGTCGTTTTGTACCCGAACAAAAAATACGAAAATACAAATACGACAAAATTCTTTTAGCAACATCGTTTCCTCAATATACGCAAAAATGACCCCAACAAGTTATGACAAAAATACTAAGCATGAAATCTGTCGTGTTTTGCCTGTTATTTGTCTTGTCTACATTATCGTATAATTGCTTTTTTCGAATTTCTGTCTTTTCGCATTGTTGCATTTCTTCTTTTTTGCATTGTTGCACTGTCGTATTTCAGCATTGTTGCATCATCGCTTTCACAGCTTCGACTAAAAATGTAACAATGAAACAAAATGATAAAGAAATGAGCAATGAAGCGATGTGATCAAGCGGAAACACGACACGGTTTAAATTTCTCATATCTTTGCATTTCCTCAAATTTGCATTTCCGGCGCGTAAAAGCATTGACACGACAGATGTAATGGGAAAAATCGACACATTTCATGTGTCGAGTCGTCGTATGTCTGTCACTATCCTTTTGCAATATACCTGACGGTTTTGTTTCTCTTTGGATTGTTTCGTGCAGAAAAAATAAAACGCAAGGATACGACAAAGTTAAAAATTGTATCAATGGCCCTTTATGGTAATAAATAAAACAAGTAATTATAAAACGTGTAATGACGAATATAAATAATTGATTTCAGAAATAAAATAATGACTAAAACAAAGCCTGTTAATTGATTTGGCTTAAATAATGAGTTTGTAGTTAAAGCTATTTTCTCTCCCCAGATCAGATCATTTCGATCGTCCCGATCACATTATTTCTCCGATGAAGCCCGACCAAGCTGGATTAAATGCAATTCACGACTCCTACACGACCCCAAGTCGACCATCTTTAGGACTTCTTCTTGACGACAACCCGACCAACATCCCGACTTCTTCTCGATCACCCAGACCTATACGCGAGTCATACACGATCTCAACTAGACTAACTGGACCTCTGCTTGATCGTTGCCAGATTTCCATCTGACCAGATCGGAAAATGCTCGAGAAGAAGTCCAGATGATCGTGTACAGATCGGGTAAGAGATGTATACCCGATGTAAACTCGACCAAACTAGATCGTAACACGATTTATTCTCGATCAACTATATCTTCTACTCGATCATTATACGATTGCTTCTCGACGTTTTATCTACTCGATCGCTATTCGATTTTTTTGACATGTCAAAAAATTTGGGTAGGAAGCCCAAGCCATTGCGACCAAGGTAGACCGCTCCGACCACCCCCGATCACGCATGCAGACCGAGCTAGACCGGTACCCGTTCGCTTGATCGTGCCTGATCGAGTTTATCTGATCGGCGGTGAGAACACAGCATAAGTGAGTTAAAAGTCGTATTGCATTGTTCCAAGTATAAAGAATGTTTTAAGCAAAAACATTGTTTTTTATTGTTCTGATATTGAAGAAATTTCAATTCAAAACGAAATGCTTGTTTTTAAAATATTGCCTTTTGTATAAATGTTACCTTGAAATGTTTTGTGAATGTTTTTATTTTTCTTCTTCAATTCGTGTATCAACTGTATACATACATCGACTGTTATTGTGAAATATGTATGAAACAACAGTGAAAAAACAACAGCAATAAAATAACAATAAAATATATGAAAACTAATTTTTTTTTTCAAATAACTGAACTGTTTTTGTTATAAACTTCACGTGCCGTAATATCATGTTAGATACTTACACCAGATAATGTGCATTTTATTGTTATACATGTTTGCTGTCATAATGTTAGAATATTTGCTGCCATCCTTTTAACGAGCATAATAAAAGTCCATTGATTTATACGCCGATGCAATCAATAATTTATTACATATTTAAAGCTTGCATATAGTTGTTTCTCAATCACCCCACGTAGTGTATACATTATTTATTATTATAGTGATATTATGTATTATTATATAAAATGCATATTCTTCATGATAATAGATACAAAAGCACCTTGTTCATTGGACCTATTAGAAACCTTATTATCAATGTTTGTTAGAGCTATTAATAACTCATATGAATCAGGCAAACTCTCCATAATTCAATCACAGGGAATAATTGCATGTACGAGTATTCATTAAGACAATAAACCAAAAGTTTTTCTTACAAAATTGGAGGCCCATAAATCTTTTAACCCTTTACCTCATATATACGGGAAACAACGCACTTTCGACCCCCCCCCTTTTTTAGGCCTGAAATAGTGAAAAAATGTCCTATTTGGGCCCCAAACACAGGTTTTCGTTTGAGAAATGTTGCTAAAAAAGTGAGCACTTTTTCGGCGCCCCCCCCATCCAAAAAATACATCAGGGGGTTGCTAGAAGGGTGATGTGCCCCTTCTGTTTGGGGGGTTTGAAGGTGGGCGGAGTCCCCCTCATCGCCAAGAAAATTTTGGACTTGTGAGAGGCTTAAAATGACCCCAGGTCGATCATAAGGTAACGTGTTACCAACGCTGAAAAGCCTTTGACTCTATCTCAATCCCTTGAGAAGTTGCAGCACTTTGAAATAAATTTTGATGGAAAAAATCGAGGCAAAATAGTGATTTGTGGCAATTTTGAGATGTCCCCTCGTTACCATGGTAACAGGAAATTTAAGACTGAGCATGTCGTTACAAAGGCAATGGTCCAGTCAACATTTGTGCCAAGTTTGATTAGTATTGAAGCATTTTTCATAGTTTCATAGCAGTTTGAACTTGTAAGAGGAGGCTTTTCAGTGAAAATGGCCATTTTTTACAATATGCTGATGGGGGAAAGGGTTAAATACAGTTTATAAAAATGCTTCTGGGGTCATTGCAAATAAAATAAAAAAGACTTTGAACAAATTGATAAACAAAGATCAAACCGGATTTATTAAGGAAAGAATCAAGAATTGTATGCGACAGTATGCATTATAAGGAAGAATAATATATTTCTGGTCTTCTTTTAATTGATTTTGAAAAAGCTTTTGATTCTTTGTCATTTGGACATTTATACAAAAAAAAGCTGTCTTACTTTAATTTCGAAATCTCTACTAAACGATGGTTTAATTTTGTTATAACGACGCACAGGCTGTTGTAAGTCAATGTGGATGGAAACTTTTATTTCGGCATTCTTATCATATTTTCCTTAATACAGATTAACACAATAGTTTGTGTTTTTATTATCATTACTATTTTCTCCATATATGCAGACTTAACTTTTTACTCTATATTAACCTATCCCAAATTTACACGTCAAACTATTCTATTTTTCCCCGCTTACAATTGCTTTAGAGATAAGTAAATGACTGAAATGACTGAAAAGGTGATTAAATATGGCCGATAAAATGTAAAAACACAGAATACAGTGAGAGAGGGCAGATAAATGAGTGTAGTATATAAGTATGTTTAATTGTCTCAATATTGTCATGTTGTGTTTACTACTTTGAATACTTTTATAGCTGTTTTATAATTATAGCATTCTAAATGTTTCGCTGTATGATACTCTATTTGTTAAAAAGTTGTATGTTTATAAACCCATATTTGATCAATAAAAAAAACCTTATAAGAAATGCATAAATATTTAAAATATGAACATTTAACAGAACTGTAAAGAGAACATTTAAATAGGATCAAAGTTGCTTCTCGATCTGTAAATTGCAGTCTTACATTGTAGAAATAAGTACAGTCAATATATCATCATGTTTCGCTATTGACACGTTAAACGTCAATTACATACGATAAAGCAAATTTCTCCGAAACACATATGCTTTAGCAAGAAAGTGAATTATTTTGCTTTAATAAAAACACAAGTTCTTCCGTGTTTGTCTTGTTTATATATGCATCGTTCGTAATTATGTTATAACATTTCATTGACCCAATATCGTTATATACCGGACACACAATCAGAACGATGAGTTTCTCCGATTGGCATAAAGTGCAGTCTTTAAGTTGACGTTTTTCCGATTTATCTTCTGGTTTCTATACTCATGTGCAAAATACAGCATGGATTGAGCGTTCATTTCTTATAAAAATCAGTGACAAATATATTTTACATGAAAATTTAGTTTTAAATGTTTTGTAAGTCTTTAATTTAGGTACTTTTTAATAGTTAAATACCAAAATTATTGCATATTGTTAAGGGGTTGCCTTTAAGGGCTGAGGCATCATTATGGCAGCCATCGTTTGATCTTATGCGATCGTAAGAGGGGACTTAAGTCTATGCATCTCTAATCTCCAAGATTTTGACCCCTGGTGTTGCTTTAAGGTTGTAAAACCAACCCTTAAAATAGTTGCACGAACCTTTTAGATTTAACACATTCCATATTCATTGTTAAACTATTAAGTCTAACCTAGACAAAACGGTTTTCATTTCATTACAACAATAACTTTCTACCCTTGAGTTATTGTAATCCATATTGAACATTCGTTTTGTAATCCTGTCATCACTTGATTAAACGAGTCTATTTCAATATCCGACAATACAAATCAATTTTCTGTAGGCACATGGTATCAAACCTGTTTCTCTCAAGAGTACTGTGCTGGTGTGAATCTTTAAACGCCAAAGTAGTAGCAAACTCACTGAAAAGTCATGAAATATTCTCAGTAAAAATATAGCTTACAGGTTCTGATATGAGACGACCAAGCGACAATTTGACCTCAATTGTGCCGAGTTGACTAAGGGCAAATAGAAAAGTTGAACCAGTGAAAGAATATGTGGTTGACACAGATTTTTTGTGGATTTATTCCCCAACATTTGCTTCTGTTTTTTAAAAAGTATAGGGAAAGCAATTGTTCATATGCTCTAGCGCCTATAAGTTGAAGAACATAAAATAGAATTCGGTTATTATCTAGCGTCAATGTATTAATAATTGTCTTATTGGGAGTTTAGTCACATAAACAATGTAAATAACATTTGACGACTTTCAAGCGAAGACTTCGGATACCGTTTCGTGCATTATTTAAGCCACGAGCATTGGACATTGTTTCAGTTACAAAATTCATGCATTATTTCAGCCACAAATATCTGCGAGTATTTGCATTCTTTCAGACACGAGCATCGTGTATTATTTCAGCCACGAGCATCTTGGATAGTTTCAGCCACGAACATTGATTCGTATTTAGAAATAAGGCATATTATAATTCAAAGTACTAAAGCATTAAATTATACAGAAGTATAGGTTGCAGTTGCTCTAACAACATAAGGAATAGAGATTTCCTGCTCTGCTGATTAATATACAGGTTTTTTACAACATAAAACGAAAATATCACCAGTAAATCATAATTCAGATGAGCTTCATAGCATTTGTTTACATATCAAACCCAAAAATCATGTCAAAATTTCAGACAAAAAAGTTTGATATATTCAATTGATATGTTTACTTTGACAAGGTTTTGATTATATTTAGAATAATTGGAGCAATAAAACGGTTCGATTGTGAATTTTATAGCTTTTCGATTTCAGTTTTACACTGAACACCTCTTAATGCTGATATTGCTCATGGGTTTGACATGATTGAATACCAATAAAACATAAATGACTTTACTGAATACGCGTCAAAGTAAAGTGTATCAATAGAGGGCTAGTGAATGAGTGTGGATACAAAACTAAACCAAATGAATGAGTTCAATAAATAAAAAAAAACCTACACGAATATAATATTCTTTTCATTGCATTCCAAAATAAAAATAACCATTTACAGTGAATACAGAATCACTGTTATTTTGACGTTAATATAGAATAACGTTAACATTCAGCGCGTATTTACACTATGTTTGTATACCACAGAAGACATCACGTCAAAATATAAACACGAACTTGAAATACGGTTTTTACGGGCACTGGTGTTGTGTGTCAAAAAGCTATACATTTGCTGTCTGTGGATTGTAAAATTAGTGTTTATATTGTGATAAGAATAACAATGAAAGAAATGTGGCAGTAAATGCTATTGAAAGCCAGTGGAGCTTGCGTGAAAACATTACCAAACCTAAGCTTTAGCTATCGATATTTTTCTTAATTCGGAACATTCCAATCTGTTTAATTACAATATTCATGTAAGGTAGGTAATTAAAGATATTTTCTATAAAGTCTAAGTCAAATATTTCAATAAGAAATGCATACATATATTTTAATGATTACATATAATGTTAACGAATATTTGCAGTACATATTTTTTCACAAGAAAAAACAAGAACCGGTTGAACCGGGTGATGCTCCCCAAGAAGGTTTTGGACACTGGAAAGTATAAAAATGAACAAAGGGCATAAACTCCAAAATTAGGCAAGGCGGAGTTATGTTTTTTTTTGCACTGCACTTCTCTTTAATGAGATCTATCTATCTATAAAGTTTCCTGAAAAAATCTCTTATAGTTTCAGAGTTATGTCCCGGTAGAATTCAAAGTGTAAAAATGAACAAAGGGCAATAACTCCAAAATTAGACAAGGCTTTGTTTAGGTTCTTTAAGCATTGCTGTTCTATCCAATGATGTCTAGCTACCTACAAAGTTTCATGTTGATATATCTAATAGTTTTAGAGCTATGTCCCGGACAAAAGTCAAAAAGTAAAAATAAACAAAGGGCAATAACTTTAAAATAAGGCAAAGCAGAGTAATGATTCTTTAGCACTGCACTTCTACCCAATGAGACCTATCTATCTACAAAGTTTCATGTTGA